GGTATATAAAATTCGTTTTCCTTTTCAAATCGATAATGAAGAAAAAAGTCTAATTGGTGAAAAGATGATATATACAAATCATGATTTTAGAAATCTTATATATACAAATCTTAGCATGCGGTTTTAAACAATTTAATAATATAATAATAGGCTGAATGAATTATGATTCAAATTCATGCAAATAAAATTTTGATCAGATTTCTAAAATCATGATATATACAATTCATGATTTTCCTTGGAGATTTATTCGGATTTTCAAATTGTTTGTAAATCACGATTTCTAAAATCATGATTTATTCGAATTTCCAAATTGTTTGAAAAATAGGAGATTTATTCGAATTTTGATTCCTTATTGCTTACCAATATAAAAGTATTTGATGTTATTAATAAAAAAACGAAAAAAATCTGATTTACTATTTTTAGAAGATAATTAATGAAAGTGCCGGAAAATTACTAAATTTTATTTATTTTAATCCTTATTATATATGATTAACATATATGTTACTTTCACGTAAATACTAATATATATATATATATATATATATATATATATAAGTTATTTCTAACAATTATTAGAAATATGATTGATTCTTAAAAAGAATTTTTAATTGATAATTATTAATTAAATATTTTAAATTGTATTTTAAAAATTTTTAAAAATACGCATGGTAAGTGTATTTCTTAAATTAAGTGTATTAAGTATGGTAAGTGTATTTCTTAGATTTATTTTGAATTTGATTCCATATTTTTTATTGTATTCCTAAAAAAAATTGGATAAAAAAGGTATGCTGATAAATAGAGATTTTGTTAATTTACTATTTTTAGGCAATAAGTAATGAAATTGGCGGGAAATTATTTCTAAAAATAAATTATGTTAATCCTTTATATATATTAATAGATATGTATCTTAATTAATCTGAATTGCTAATTTGGTATTTATTTAATTATATTGGTGTCCTATGGATTGATACAATGTTATGTAATTATATATTCTAAATTTTAGTATGAGTGTAAAATGGTATATATAGTTAACAATTAATGTTATCCTCCCTATATAATTCTAGAATGCGCTGAGCCTACGTGGCTGCTTCTGGTGCTTCAGAATTCTATTTGGCGAAGAATCATGCTTCGTAATTAGGTTTGGATAAATAATATTGATATATTAATAATTAATAACTAGGTTCGGGTATTCCATAAATATTATTTAGCTAATTTAGGTATTTTAATATCACTTTTACTAATATAACCCTTTAATTCTTTATAATTTTACATAGTGAGGCACTAAGT